GCATGAAGAACCTAGGGGTAAGACAGGAATAAAGACACAGACCTACTGGAGAACGGACTTGAGGATAAGGGGAGGGGGAAGGGTGAGCTGTGACAGGGCGAGAGAGAGTCATGGACATATACACACTAACAAACGTAAGGTAGATAGCTAGTGGGAAGCAGCTGCATGGCACAGGGATATCGGCTCCGTGCTTTGTGACCGCCTGGAGGGGTGGGATAGGGAGGGTGGGAGGGAGGGAGATGCAAGAGGGAAGAGCTATGGGAACATAGGTATATGTATAACTGATTCACTTTGTTATAAAGCAGAAACTAACACACCATTGTAAAGCAATTATACCCCAATAAAGATGTTAAAAAAAATAACTAATGAGTAAACTATGTATAACTATGAGACATTATTCTTATATAAGTGTTATGTTAATGATTGGATCTGAGGCACAAATTGGAAGTGTACATTTTTATTAGCTGGGCCTTTGTTGTAAATGACAGAATCCTCATTGATTTTTTTTTTTAATCTCATACTCCTAATTTGTCTTTCTTCCCTTCCCTCTCTTGATTGTAACCACAAGTTGTTTTTTTCTTCTTCAAAACAAACAACTTTTTATTGAAGTATAGTTGATTTAAAATGCTGTGTTATTTTCAGGTTTACAGCAAAGTGATTTATATATATATATTCCTTTTCAGATTCTTTTCCATTACAGGTTATTACAAGATATTGAATATAGTTCCCTGTGCCATAAAGTAGGTTCTTGTTTATCTATTTTATGTATTCCTCATTGGTTTTTAATAACAAAATTATCAGAAGTTATTAGGTAGCCTACAAAATCTTCAGAGGAAGAGTGGGTCAGAAAGCCAGACTTTGAGGCTATAAAGTCAGGAAAAATTTGTTCCTGGAACTATTTATTCAAAATATGTAACTGACTCAGCTTTCAGAAATAGGACACTTGGGATTGGATTCCAAAGCTCTGCCACCCCAGCCCCAAAGTATCAAATACCTCTGCCACCATCACGACAATTTTCTTTCACCCCTTTGCAAATGACCACTTCTTCCTGTTATTCACTTCTCAATGCATGTATTGTGAGGGTGCATCTAATTGGTGGAAACTAGGTCACATGCCAGAATCCTTGCTACAAGGTAGTACAGGGGTCTTGAGTTTTCTGTTCTACCTCAAAGAGGGTACTCATAATACGGTATATATTACCAAAATGTAAAGATGCTGGACTGCAACCAATTTGTACCATAGCATTGCAGAGTCAGTCTTATTTCTCAGGAAACTAGTTGACGAAAGATAAGCTTGAGGAAAGGAAGGACAACTAACGCTTGCCAAGTGTTTGATATCATTACGATATTAGAATAGGCAGAAGCTGAATTGCCTTTTACGACCTAGCCTCATAAGTCACATCGTTTCACTTTTGCTGGACTCACCTGGTTGACCAGCCACTGAGGTCATCCCACACACAAGAGGAGGGGACACCCACACTCCACTTCTGCATGGGAGAAGGATCAAAGAATTTGCAGACATGTTTTTCTGACTCTAAAAGTCCATGCATGCTTTTCTTCATGATATTGTGTGGAAATTCTTGTTCCTGGGAATCCAATGCCAATCAGAAAGCAGCAGTCTGATGGTTCTGGTGGTATGAGACTCTCTGTCTAGCCACATTGAGAAGGGTGCAAGGGACATCCATAACTGGTCCCTGTCTTTATTGTTCTTTATTAGAGATCAGTCTATTCAGAATGCTTCAACCCCAATTCAGAATGCTTCAACCCCACTCTAGGTGGGAAGGGACAGCTCAAAATGACTCAGTCAAATGTGCACGTTATTACTAATCAATACAAGCCACCAGCTGTCTGTGATCAAGGTTGGAAGAATGCCAGAAAAGAAAATATAATGGCTGGAGGGGAATGGAAATCATTATATTGAAAATGAACAATTCCGAGACAAAGATGACATACAAGAAACACTGGTTTCAACTCAGCTAAATAAAAATAAAAGTCAACATATATTTATATCTGGTACCTATACTGAACCTCTGAAAGAGAGGAACTCATAGTTACTGATTATTAGGATAATTTTATTAATGAGAAAACATATGGGAATGTTGGGAAAATTTCCGTGGTCACTGTGAGAAAGTTAGTTCTCCCAAAAGAGCCATTGTCTTTCCCTACATTGCAGCCTCTCTTACAGTTGTGTTAGAGCCCTGTGACTAGTCTAGCCAGCAGAATGAGTGGAACTGATTATATCACTTCCTGGATGAGACAGTTAAGAGGTAAAGTGCCCCTTCAGTTCTCTCTTCTCCTCCCACTATGACCTTGGAAGTCACATGTTGAGTTGGTAGCATCACAAAACGAAGGAAGCCTGAATCCCGAGTCACAGCTTTGGGAAGAACCCCCATAAGCACTCATCAGAGTATGCATGAATGATAACACACTTAATGAGTCAAGCCATTGAGATTTTAGGATCTGTCTGTTACTGCAGCAGAGCCTGACCTCTACCAATGAACACAGTCACTGAGATTGTTAGTGTCAACTGAAATTCCAAGGCCAGACCTTTCTGATTCTAGCGCTGATTCATTTAACTATTACACCTGAAGCTAAAGAAGAAACTAGCTAGCTATAACATCGTTTTTAAAATAACTGGATGAAGAGTTACATATTAAAGGGACTAGAGCGCTATTTAATCCTGTAAGTTATCACTATTGTATATAAAGCTACATAGTGATAGAAAACAAGAACTAGCTTCAGGTATGAAAGAAAAATAAATGTAGTTTTTCTATGAAAAAATACCCCCCAAAAGCGTATTTCAGCACTATAGAAAGGAACAAATTTCTATAGGTATTCTACCGTGCAAAGCCAGGCTGGTACGTATCATAAAGTCAGAGTAAAACATGAATATTACAGATTAAAAGTATCAGAATACAAGCTCCATTCTTTGGAAGACCAAGAGTGTACTTGAATCAATTCAAAGATAAAATGATTAGAGGTGGAACTAATAGTGTATAAGTGTGATTTATGTTCACGGAGAGAAACTGGGGAAAAAAAAAAAAAACCTGTTGCAGTAGCTTTTCTACAATATTCCTGAAAGATAATGTAGTAAATTGAATTCTGCCAATCCTCCCTCCACAAGGTTTCCCATCCTAATCCCTGGGACTATGAATATGATGCGCTATAACATCCATGAGTAAGTTATATTATGTGGCAAAAGGGACTTTATAGATATAATTATGGTTGCTAATCAGTTGACCCGAAGATAGGGAAATTATCTTGGTTTATTGGGGTGGGCCTAATCTAATGATATGAGCCGTTTAAAAGCAGAGAGTTTTCTCTGGCTAGCAGCAGGAGTAGCAGCAGCAGAAGTCAGAGATTCAAAGCACGAGAGGAATTCGAGTGCCGACACTCTTCTTTCTTTTTGCCATCATCTTTGCCACATATTCGCTATCACCTGCCCATGCAGTCAGACTACAAATGCCTTACCCTCTATTCCTATACCTAGTTGACATATTCTTAATCAATTAATGATGAAGGGAACGTTAATGGGCCAGAAGAGGTGAAAAGCCCAGAGTGTTGAAGTCAAAAGCAGGTTGTTTCTGTCGAAAGCAGGCTGTGATTACCTCAAAGCTCCTTACCCACTCCCTGGCTCTACGCCATGCCCACACACCTACCCCCACTTTCCTAGAAGTTTCAGGTTTCAAAGAATCTTGAATCTATATCAGAATTCCAGCCAGGGAAAGTCGGGTCTCTGGCAGCCTCACTTGGAATTCTGAAAGGTTATTCCTGTGGATCCTTATCAACATGTGTTGAATGAAGAAATCAAAGAATACAAACACTCTTAGCCATGATGGAAGTTAAGTTTCTTACTGCAGAGCTAAGTTTTATGCATATGAACTGGTTAAATAGGTCTTGAAGATTGGCCTGGGCATGCCGATCACTGGCAATATAGCTTCTAAAGGAAAATGATACTGGGACTGCGACCTAACTTACCGTCTGGGAACACAACTTGGCAGTTGAAACTTCGCCTCAAAGGTTGTACCACCCCATTCGAACAATTTGTTCACATTTTCAAGAGTATAAATGTTATCTCCCCATGTACATTATCTGTGCTTTATGCTTCTTATACACCTACAGAGCACAGCAGCTTTGATTATTCACAGAATGATTCCTAGGACAGCAGTTTCTACAACCATCCCTCCCTACCGGAACATTTCTACTCCAATCCCAGTCTCCAACTCTTCTGCTTTTTCCAGTCACATTCATTACTCACGAAGTGCCTATTAGATGCCTAACACTGGTAGTAAAATGGTAAAGCAACGCCCGTCTTCCCAGCTCTCACACAGCATACAATGTACAGGAAAGTTCAAGTCTTGAAACACACACTCACTCCACCTGTAGCTCCTGAAGCCCAGGCAGTTGACACCTGGCTCCTCTCTTTCCTCTAGTAGCCCCACCCCTCCCGCACAGGCCCCTCCCCTTCTTCCACGATCCTTCCTTCTTCCTCATCTAGCTCCTCCCCTTCCTCCAGCAGTTCCTACCTTGCCACAAAAGATGCTCCACTTTTTTTTGAATTTTTAAATTTTCTTTTATTTATTTTTTATACAGCAGGTTCTTATTAGTTATCTCCTTTACACATATTAGTGTATATATGTCAATCCCAATTTCCCAATCCCCTTCTTTCAATAGCTATGCCCTCCAGCAAAGCGCCCCCGCTTGCTCCACAAGCCCCACCCCTTCCCCCATTGGCTCCTCCCTCACAGGCCTCCGCCCTTTCAATGGCTCCTCCCACTGCCCCACCCATTCCGCGCCCTCCTCCCCAGGCCCTCTCCGGTCTCATTCCAGTCCGGGCCCACCCTACCTCTCCTTTTTGCCTCCCCGCCTCAGAAGGCAGTTTCCTTCCGAACTGGGCAGGGGGTGTCGCGCTGCAGCCCGTGGAGTGGTCTGGGGACTTGCCACGGAGGCGGGGAAGCGGCCGCCGCCGCTCACACCCTCCTGTGGGGCCGGCGGGGTGCAAGGCCCCCGGGTAGCTTAGTCCCCGCCGGCGGGCTGCAGAGGCAGTTGCCCTGCGTTACGGACGCGCTGGGGGCGGGGCGGTAGGCGGGCCTGCGGGGGATTCGCAGTGGAAGTGACGTATACGCGCCACGCGCAACAAAGCTGAGCGCGGGAGGCGACGCCCACTGACCGCGGTGGGCGCGTGCTCCCGGCAGGCTGTGCGCGACCGCGAACCTTCCACCCGCGCCTGAGGAGCTCACTGCAGCTGAGAGCGCGGGAGGCCGCCTCGCGAGGTACCGTGTAGCCTTAAATGCTGGTCAGGGAAACCCACCGAGGGGTTGGGTGCCCGTCGGACCCTGGAGTTAGAAAGTGAGGGCTTTGGGACCAGCTTCCCCTCAGAGACCCAGGACCTCTCCCTCCGCACTGCTGCCCTTGGCGCGGATAGTTCTGTGATGGGGAGTGGCTAGCAGCGTCCCTGGCCTCTACCCACTAGATGCCAGGCGACCAAAAAGGTCCCCAGACTTTGCCCACTGTCCCCCAATCGCCTCTCCCCCATAAGGACTGTGCCAGGGTGGTGCAGGCCAGTAGGTTTTTAAGGCGCCACCCCCTGTCGTGTAGCAGCGCAGCCTGTGAAGTGGGCATTGGCATCTTTTATACAAATGTAGAAAAGTAGCCTCACGTTGCTAAATCAGCTGAGGAACTCGTTGAAGACAGTGAAATGTCACCCCCTGCTCCCCTCCCAGCTTTGGTGCTGGTATTTTCGAGCATCCCAAGGTGCAGCCAGGGGTGGGAACCTGTGCCCGGAGTCAGGCATTCGTGGTAGAACCCAGCTCAGGTCTGGTTCCAAAGCCCTTGTGCTTTCTGGTTTTAAAAGTGTGAATATTTCTGCTGGAGAAAAATATCATAAGCCTTTTATACCCCTGTGATTAAAAGCCATTTGGAGGGACTTCCCTGGCGTTCCAATGTTTAAGACTTTGCCTTCCAATGTAGGGGGTGTGGGTTCGATACCTGGTTGGGGAGCTAAGATCCCACCTACCTCCAGGCCAAAAAACCAAAACATAAAACAGAAGCAATATTGTAACAAATTCAATGAAGACTTTAAAAAGGGTCCCCGTCAAAAAAAATCTAAAAAAAAAAAAAATAGGGCTTCCCTGGTGGCACAGTGGTTGAGAGTCCGCCGGCCGATGCAGGGGACACGGGTTCCCTCACTGCTGTGGCCTCTCCCGTCGCGGAGCAACAGGCTCCGGACGCGCAGGCTCAGCGGCCATGGCTCACGGGTGCAGCCGCTCCGCGGCATGCCCGGACCGGGGCACGAACCCGCGCCCCTTGCATCGTCAGGCGGACTGCCAACCACTGCGCTACCAGGGAAGCCCCATGAAGTTTCTGTCATTGCAATGTCTCTTAACTTTTTAAACTCCTTTCCACACCAGAAATCACCTAGTAAGCAACAAAAATTTTTTTAATTATCACCTGACAGTTTGGTTAGGAAGAACCTCCTTTAGTTCTGTTGAAAATAGAAAATTTGAAACCACCTGACTAGCAGGATTTGTTAGCCAAGTCATTAAAGCTGTGTTCTCAGTTTCTGGGAAGTATACCTAAAGTCTTAACTAAGATTTACTAAATAACTGTTAAACTTCTTGACTGAAAGCACATTCTCCTAAGTACATGTGGAAGTGGAAGATCTGGCAAATGATTTGCTTCACACTAATTTTGCCTGCATACCCGTTTTAAACGGGCTTCTAATCACTGTTGAAGCTTAGCCGGTAAAAGCCTGATAGCAGGGGTAAGCTGGGACGAAGTTAGAGAATGGCACGGACATATGTACACTACCAAATGGAAAATAGATAGCTAGTGGGAAGCAGCCACATAACACAGGGAGATCAGCTCGGTGCTTTGTGACCACCTAGAGGGGTGGGATAGGGAGGGTGGGAGGGAGACGCAAGAGGGAGGAAATATGGGGATATATGTATACTTACAGCTGATTCACTTTGTTATACAGCAAAAACTAACACACCATTGTAAAGCAATTATACTCCAATAAAGATGTTAAAAAAAAAAAAAAAAAGCCTGATAACATGACCGAGCAGAAACTTAAAGGGATGAGTGTTTGGCTAGTCATGTTTATAAAAAGCCAAAGTAGAGATGGAATCAAGATACAGAAGCTCTAGTAGAAAAAGATCTCAGAGTTGGCAAAGGAGTGTTTTTAAAACACCAAGATGGGGGCAGGAGGTATACAGAAACTACTCTCTGCTCAATTTTGAACCTAAATCTACTCTCTAAAAAAGTGTATTTAAAAGGAAAAAAAAATAAAGACTGATGGGGATAGGTAGTTAATAGTAAAGCCATGTTGCTGAGAAGAAAAAAGAATTTAATCACTGAGAAAGATGCATGATTAGGTCTGAAATAATACAGTGATTGCTGAGAAGTAATGAAGACACAGTTACAGTTAGTGTAATTTTAAAAACTGAAGGTGGGTGGTACTCTGACATTTTAGCAGCCCCAGAAAAGCTGCAGAAATTCAGAAAAATTCAGAAATTGATTTGCTTGAGAGTTGATCTGAAATACCAGCCTCATTTTCATACTAGTATGCCTGTACAGAGAGCCCTCTAGTGGTTTCTTTATTAAAACTTAATGCCCTCAACTTCTTTAAACTATTCAACTATCTGGGAGGTGATAAGAGAAAAAAAATTTTTTGAACACTTCCAGGGTTACCTGTTCCATTTCTTGAATTTTAAATTATTAGAAAGCATTATTTAAAACCTATATTAAGCTCCTCTATTAAGACCAAAACCATTCAAAGGAATATGAGGTCTGAGAAATTGAATTCTCTGTTGATTTAGTCCATTTGGAGGGCCATTCAACACCTCTTATTTTCAGCAGCACTAAAATAGAAACGAAGGTTGAACTGGCTCTGTATTCTAAACAGTGAAAAAGAGCAAGTTGTCATAAAGTTTTGTTCTTTGATCCTCCCCCCGCCTGCCAGATTCCCATTTAAATATATTTTTGGCCGCATTAAGGCATCTTGTGGGATGTTAGTTCCCTGGTAATGAAAGCGCCTAACCACCGGACCGCCAGGGAATTCCCTTAAGTATTATCATAGTAACTTACATTTTGGTAAGGAACTGATGAAGAGTGAGCCAGGAAATGTGAAAATCCTAACCATATCCTCTTATCCTCTCCATCACCTTATCTGTGAAATGGTGGTAGTTATGGATATGCCCTACCTAGCTCTGGCTACTGTGGTAAAGATGAAAGAAGGTAATATATGAGAGTAACTTTAAAACAAGATTTATTTAGATTTAAATGAGCAATTATTACTCATCCCTATTTCCAAAGCAGTCAAATTAATTAACCTGATTAATAACAGACACAGCTCAGCAGTGATATGGCCACTGGCACAGTCCTGGAAAGAATGCATTCTTTCTGCAGAGGAACAGGAAAGACTTGTATGTTATTTACCTACCTACATACTCTATGTTCTTTATTTGCTCTTTATTTACCAGAAGATAGTAGTGTCTACATACTTCCCTTTTCCTCTAGTAACTGGGAAAATGGTAGAAGTTTGTTCTTGCTGTGTGTGTGTATAAGTATATATATCTGTGTGTGTGTATATACTTATGTATGTTCTATCCCCTGCCCCAAATGTCAGCATACTACAGTACTACCATTGGCTTAATTAGAAAGTATGCTATGTTGGCCACTGTGTACACTTCTGTCCCCATTACTTAAGTAGAAACCTTATGTGAATGTGGTTTAACTTTCTTAAGGATGTCATGTGCTATGCTGATCAAAATTTCACCTTTCCTTGTTTTTACTCCTCTCTTCTAATTGGCATGATAGAAAAACAAAGTCAATGATATCTTTTATGTTAAAAATGACCAAAAAATAGTACTTGATGCTATCAGGCAATTAGATCTTTGCTTAAGAAAAGCAAGATTTGTGACTAAAAGGAAACATTTTCTTGGAACCAACCTTTCATCGCTAGGGCTTAAAATTCCTTTTTAAAAAATAACTTTCCGTAAGTTAAAATTAGCATCTTTACAAATACTAGTGGAGTCACTAAATGAAATATTAACAGCAAAACAAAAAACACGATTAAGAAGTTGAATATTTTATTATTAAACTGTTTCTTATTTTCCTGCAAGGCTGTTGCTTCACTGTATAAAAATAGCACCAGCAAACACAGTATATTGCAAAATTAAGAGAGTAATGTTCTTCACTGGACACTATACAACTAACAAACTTTTCTCCACTGTCATTTATTTCCAATGGCAAGTTCATTGAGTATTTTGACCCAAATCCAGGGATGGCTGTAAGCAAGTTACAGTATTATATAAACTTAAGATAACAATGTTATCCTTGAATTACATAATTTTTATAACTAGTTTTACCACAGATAATTTCAGGAATTCTGAGTATTATAACTGGAGACTAGCCTAAAAATCACAGGCTGTTGTGAAAAAGATGCAGAGCGTTTATGTGAAATCATTAGGAAGTTAAGGGGTATTTTCTTCAGGCAACATTGTTGAAAGTAGTTTCTTTTGCTAAAAGTTGCTTTTTAAAAATCTATCCACCACTAATTTAAGACAACTATACTAGATTAAGTTGTTTCAAACTGGTTTATTTAGGGGTTCCATTTTCACTCCTCAATAGACTTTATGTATTTCTCATATGCTTCTTCACTCATTAGTTCATCTAGCTCTGAAGGGTTACTGAGTGTCATCTTGATCAGCCAACCTGCAACCAAAAAAAAGTATCTTATATTCCAAATCACCTTTTTAAAGAGAAAGTCAAATTCATTCAAAATGTAAATTCTGAGTGCCTCAAAATTAACCTAGTATTCTTTACATAAATCACTCATTATTTGTTCAAAGAGCTTTAAATTTTAGCTGTAAGAATTAAATTAATATTCCTTACATATCATAACTGAAAAGAACCAGAAGAAATTCTACCATAATGGATTAAGAACTTCTAGGCTGTAATAAGCATCAACAACTTTACATACGGATCCAAATACACAAGGCCAGGTATATCTTTAACAAAAGGAACACCAACACTGTAACTACTTAGATTAATGGCATTAGAAAGCTTTAGTAGAGAGAAGAAGTAGGTGACAGGAAACAGAGAACTACAACCTAATGCTAATTTTGCATCTTGTTGGCTGTGTGACCTTAGCAGAGAAATCCTTTGGGGCCTCAATTCATCTACAAAATGGAAAAAATTGTTGCTAGCTTACCTTACTACATTATTATGAAGATGAAGATGTGAGAAAACTGAAAATTAATGTAATAAA